ACTCCCAAGTTTGCAAACTCAGATGAAGTGACATCTTGCAGGCTAGATGAACAGTTTAGAAGGATGAGAGGTGCGTGAATCATATCTGAGCATTAGTGAGTGTGCATATGTGTGCCAATTAAGTCCATAAAGCACTGTTCCCAGGGACAATGTCCTTGAAATATGTAACAGTAAACAAAATAAAAAAAAATGGCTCAGTTAATCACAAATGGCTCAGTTAATCACAAACCACCCATAATCACTGAATTAGGCTAAACTAGAATGTTCAGAGTGAAAATTGAAAAGCCGAACCAGACTTCATTGCATTAAATATTGCAACTTTCTTTTCTTCCCACTTCTTTTTTCAATACCTATAATGTGTAAAGAAAAAAAAAAAAAAAAAAAAGAGAAAAAATGATTTTGTTAAATCAATATTATCTAAGTAAATGTATTGTGTCTATTTCTATATGCAAGGATTATGTACAGCAAGTTTAAGTTTAAGCACCTCGCTGGTTTTTAAAACTTTGAGTTTGTTTTTAGGGTAACTTGTGACTTTCAAGTTGGTCCTGATTATCTATTATAGCTATGTGGCCGTGTTCACTTTGACTTTTATCATTAAACGTTATTCTTATTAGTGTTATTGGTAGGTGAATAAAACCTTTTCTGATCAGGACAGATACTAATTAATGCTGCCATCTTTCTTCACAGCAAAGACCTTATGGCATTGTGGAACTAAAACCCAAGCTTTTCCCTGTAAGTATAAATTATTCTGACTTGTTGACACTCGTTTTTAGATGTTACATGTGGACATCGTTATTTCTTTAACTGTGACCTCATACTCTTACTTTCTGAGTCGTTGTTTTATTTTGTTCTCAGGGTGACACCATTCTGGAGACGGGGGAAGTTGTTCCTGATCTCCCCGAGACCCATGGCCATCACTGAACTTTGAATAGTTAATTCATTTCATTGAGTGTTTGTTGTAAAAACTGTATATTCCAATAAAAACAAAAATATGGCTTTAATGATTGATGAAATGTTTGGTTATTTTTAATTTAGTAGTTATTCTTCATCTCTCTTTTAAACAGCAGTTGTTTTAATTTAGAAAACTGAACTTCATAAGGATAAAGATGGGGGCAATATTGGAGGTGAATGTTTTTGTTTTTTTTGGTTATTAACATGTAATATTAACGAGACATTTTTTTGGTTTACTTTGCACACAGAATTGAAGTTGCTTCATCAAACTTATTGATGCTATTAGTAATTGTGTTTTATTTTGCTGGATGCAGCATCGGATGTGATGGTTTTCTTGCATGGAGAATCTTTAAGTGATGACCTCACTTAATCTGTCTGTAATTTCCACCTTGGTCTTCAGGAGGTCGCTCTCTACCATCAATGCGAGTTTTGGCTTGTTATTTTGGAAGACAGAGCAATGACCTAAACCTACTTAAGCTGCAGACTGCCTTCCAAAATGTCATCTTCACTAATCATATTTCTTGATTGACAAGGTTCTCATACACAGATGCTGCCCAACATGCTTAACTGTTTTTTGTTTTTTAATTAAAGGTCTTTTTCTCAAACAGAATAAATTTATTAAAGCTCATCTCATTTGAATAAAAGGCATGCTTCCAGTATGCATAGTTTTTCTAATAGATATAGTTTAGCTCCTAAGGTGGCTCTTTTACAGATTAAGCTTTGTCTTCAAGGTTTCAGTCCTTTCTTGCGCAAAGTTTCGAGACTACATAGTATGATTGCTGACTTCCCAGGTTTGTTCTATGCCCTTGACTCTTAATCTCCGGTAACATTGATAATCCTACTTCTATTTTGTAAATTAGGAAAAAACGAATTTCTTTTTTTTAATTGTGTGTGTGTATATATATATATATATATATATACACACACACACAATTAAATTCAGTCTTATTTGTCTTCAAAAACCTTGAATTTCACTTTCCTTTCAAGCTGTGATTTAAAGCACGTCAGTATTTTCAAAGTTAAACATAAAATGTGAGCTTACTTTTAAGAGGCTTTTATTTTGAAATGCGGAAGTTGTCTCAAGAACTACCTGTAATGCCTTAAGTTACAAAACGTCAGGAAGGAGATGTTTGTCCGTAAAATTACCCTGAAATGAGCGAGTTTCCCCCAGAACAGCAGGGAAAATCAGTTACCGACTGTAAACTCGTTCTACAAATTAAAAGGTAAATGTTTAACAACTTTTCCTTAAGCCGTATTTTACCAGCTGTAGTTCTTCCAGCCTTCCTAGCTTAGCTAGCCTGCTAACTTTCACCAAGTTGATCTGTAAACAGCTTTTCGTTATTTATTTAGCTCTTGTAATATAAACATGTGCAAGAGAAAAGTCTACGTAAACGTTGGCGTTTTTTATTTATTTATAATTATTCACAGTAACTTGCATTAAATTCCAGAAATCACAATAGTTGTGGTAGTCTTTAGCTGTCCCGGGTATCTTGGTTTTAGAATGGTTAGATTTGTCTTTTTCGCATTTGTTGACCTTACATGTTTATATGTTGGTTTACCCAAAGCAAGACCCCGTGTACACCGGTTTTTCTACTTAAAAAGGTTTGCTTCGGTATCAATAACCTTGAATAGACGACCTCTCTGCTTTTATAGATATCCCCACGAAACCAAAAACATGTAACTTTTACATATAAGCCCATGTTCTTCAATAAAACCTGATATATTTTTAGGGAAAATAAATGCTAAACAATCCTTTAACCATAACAATACTCGTATTGTTTTGTTTTTTTAAATCAGTGAATGCATTACATTTCATAAAATGTACTCCTAAGTTCAATATGGGGGGTTTTGTAGATAGGGCTCTAAATTGTTTTCTACCTGTAGAAAGTTGCTCTGATTCATGTTGGATGAGTGATCATTATTTATCATGTGTATGAATCCTGGATTACAACCTGATCATTTTTATTAGTAGTAGTAACCCAGAAACTTCAACCAGATGCATTAGTGCAGTTTTGCATGGGTCTCACCTCAAACTTTTCAAACATTAATATTTTTTCCCCCCCCATCTCTATTAGCCTAGTAAACTAGCCCCACCCGCCAGCGGCCAAAATAATTTTTGCCTGCGAATGGTCTAGCCTCGATCAATGCCCCAGGCCCTAGAACTGGCCGGCCAATCACAACACAGAGATGTGTTTTGAATTTCTGGATGCAAAGAGGGCGGCGTTTTGAGGGCATGACAACAAAGCTGCGCAACGCTGGAGTTTACAGATGGCAACACCTATTGAACAGTACTCATTTGACTCTTTGAATCAGTTTTACAAGGATTAGACTCAAGGTTTTTGTTGAAACATGAGCAGGAAGAGGCTCTACGCTCAGTCATTTTTAAGGACGTATTCATCGTTTTAACGACAGGCTGTTTTGTTTATACTCCCCCACCAGCTTTCTGTCGCACTTACTATGTCACAGTCAGTTACGTTCATTGGTCAGAGCGTTGGCCAATAGGCACAGACATGGTTTGAAAAACAATGGGTCGTTTTCCTCAACAAACTTCCGATGTCTCATTCACAGGGGCCAGAATAAATTACACATTTATTACACATTTAATTTCACATTTAGTCTGCTTTATCAGGCTACATCTCTTTGTAATTGAGTTGTAAAATGCGTTTGACTTTCTTTCTTCTCAGATCATGTCAGCAATCAAGGTTGCCCTGCAGCAAAGCCCGAAGGGTAGACGAAGTAAAACCGCAAAGACAATGTCTGCCGAAGTGTCTCCAGACTCCAAGTGCCCCATCTGTTTGGATGCATTTCATAACATGTCGTACTTGGACCGCTGCCTGCACAAATTCTGCTTCCGCTGTATTCTGGAGTGGTCGAAGAACAAACCCGAGTGTCCACTTTGTAAACAGCCATTTAGTTCAATCTATCACAGCATAAAATCGGACCAGGACTTCCAGAAGTATGAGCTGAAACAGCAAGTGGATAATTCCTCCTTTGGTTATTTCGAGGGAGTGCGGTTTAGGTACCGAACGACTCTCACTGGAGTTCATCGACAGATGAGGAGAACCTCTCCGCCTCCAGACAACGGTGTAATGTTTGAAGCCTCTGCAAATTTCCAACAGCAGCGGCAGGATCGTTACATTCGACGCATGATGAGTAGGTTGGCGGCTAAGAGGAGAGCTGCGAGTGAAGGCAGGGCTGTGAACAACGTTAGGGAGCAGGAAATGATCAACTTCAGGAGGGAGCTGTACCGACGGGGGGTGAGGGTTCAAAACGTGAGAGACGGAGGGCGCTCCCGAGACACCTCTGCTGAATTTTACCGAAGAAATCCCGCCTGTCTACATAGACTGGTCCCGTGGTTGAAAAGGGAACTCATGGTGCTTTATGGGGCCCACGGCTCTCTGGTCAACATAGTTCAGCATATCATCATGTCACGCATCACACGCTACGACATGGAGGACGGGGCCATCCAGGGAGAACTCAGACCCTTTCTGCAGGGCCGGACGGAGCATTTTCTGCACGAATTTATCAATTTTGCAAGGTCTCCCTTCAATATGGAGGCCTATGACCAGCATGCTGTTTATGACTGCCCAGCGCCCTCTTCAAATGAGCACAGCAGCTCCAACTCATCTGTAATCGCCATCTCAGAGGAGGAGGAAAGCTCTGCCGATGTGGAACCTCCTGGGATCGCCGCTTCTGCTTTGGGTCAGTCTTTATGGGACGATGAGACACCAGGGCCGTCATATTCTACTGCAGCAGAGACCAGCAGACCACAACTTGGTTCAGTCCTGGAATTGGACTCAGAGAGCAGCTCAGAGGAGGAACCGCTAGAGCTTAATGTTTCTCCACAAGAGATTACATCGCATAGCCCAGTCAATGTTGCTTGTGCTGAGCGCACAGATAACGGCTGCACGTCTCCTGACAGTGACGACTGTGTTATAGTGGGATACATTAAGCCAGCGGCAGAGCGGACTCCAGAGCTGGTCCATCTCTCCTCTGACTCTGACGACTCTTCCATTGAGGAGACCAAGGACGCTCCCATCCAGTCCCAACACATCCGTTTCACCAGCTGTAGCCCTGCTGCTTCACACAGAAGCGATTCTAGTAGGGCTAAAAATGTCCAAACAGACCACCGACATCGGTCGTCTTCAAAAGACAGACCTAAATCAAAAGTACACAAACACTCCAGAACGGATAAACGATTTGAAGAAAGAGAAAGAGCAACGGAGAGACGCAAGTCGAAGGAGAAAGAGCACAAGAGAAAGAAGAGCAACTCGAAGAGCAGAGGGAGCAAGCACTCCAGAAGTCCGGTAATTTCTCACGGCAGTTTCGGCTCTCATTCCAGCAGTGGACACTTCTCAAATAGTGACAGAGTCCACGCGGAGAGGGACAGCTACCAGTCATACACCCATTACAGGCATGAGAGGAACGGCAGCGTGACTCACTACACACAGAGGCGGTCCTACTATTACAGCAGCCGCACGTACTCACCCTCTGAGTCCAGGAGTCGCAGCAGGGACTCCTCTCAGAGAAGACACAGGAGGCGGCCCCGATCCGGGTCTCAGTCCAGCCGATCCCCTTCGCCTGATAGGAGGTCTCATCATGACAAGCCTGGAGGCAAAAGGAAATGCAAAGCAAAACATCTGGAGGAGCCACCCAAAAAAGACCAAAACCTCTCCAACGAAAGCGACTCGGTGTCTGTAACGAAACACAAGAAGAAAAGCAAAGAGAGGCACCATAAAAAACCTAAAGACAGGTCGAGGAAGAGGAGCGGGAGCAGAGAACTTGACAGTGAACGACACAGACACCACCATAAGAAGAAGAAGAAACACAAAAAGAAAAGTAAAAAAAGCAAGAGCACTGAGCGCAAATCGAAGTCCTCAACAAATGTGATCACCATCGAAAGCGACAGCGAGTCTATTGCCAATCAGGGTGTCAGTCCTGTCAGCAGGACCACTGAAAATCCCTCTGACTGCGCTGCTGCTGATGACAGAGTAAACCTCACGCCTGCGGACCACAGTTTACAATCACATTGATGCATCGAACCTTCATTTCTACAACTGCCAACAAGTATTTCACATCAGAACTATTTCTGCTATGTTCAAGGTTACAAAACCACACAGGAAACTTTAAATGGTGTCTAATTACTGTTTTTTATTGATAAAATGTTTTCTTACAGTAAAATTCATTTGTCAGCCATGCATCAGGCAAGCAATCATCTCTATATTCAAAGCAGCAATTTTTTATTCAGTATCGACTCCATATAAAGTATGTCCTAAATCAAGCTGTTTTATCCTGAACACAACAATGTAAGCAAGGGAGAGGTAAACCTATTTGGAGTTAGATCTTTTGTGTAACAATAAGCTCTTATTTTGTAAAACAACAAAGTATAATTTTTGCAATTCAATATGCAGTAGTCGCTGCTCTTTCAGGGATTTAAGTACCTTTCTGTTTTTATAGATCTGTAATATTTATGGGTAATTTTAGCTCTAAGTGGCTCAGTTACGATGGTATTTTGACTTCAAAATGGACTTGTATTGAGTTTTCTTTTAAGAATAAATTTGAATGGGTTACTGTATTTCCTTTTTTTATTTACTGGTAGCATGAAGATGGTTGTTTATGATTTAATTTCCTATTGGACTTTTGGATTCATTGTTTCTTTAATTGGATGCAAACAAAGCACCTGCTTCACTTATTGGCACTCCTAATAAAGATATAAAAAATCTGGAAATTATTGATCATAATCATACACTGCAAAGGTATACTAATACAACCTTTAAGTACAGTATATGTATTAAGTGAAGCAGGTGGAAGGGATGCATTAAAAGTGTTACAGAGCAATTAAGTGGCGTGTAGGTTCTTGGCACCTAAACAATTCCTAATAAACAACTACATTAAAGGAGGTAATGCACCATTCAAGCTTCAAAACGGGCAAGAAGAGTGAGAATGTCTTTTAGATAAGGCTGGGAGTGGCATCAAGAAAATAGCTACTTTTCCTTATCTTTGGGAAAAAGACTGAATAGCGAGGCCAGACGAGATTTTAAAACCAGAGCAAGACTGGGGAACTGCAGCACATAGTAACTCTGCCCAACCTATATTTTTATGACTTATTTTAAGAGATGTTTTTATTAGATATGCTGTAAGACAATATGAGATAAAGTTCATAGATAGGAGACATGCATGCCTGCAAGAGCAGTTGTGATTACTCCCATTTTCAGCTTTGTAAATAAAGGCTCTTCTGTGGTTCAAATTGCTCTGCCTTAGGGATGTACCATTGTTTCTAATTGCAGGTTTATCAGTTAAAAGTTTAGAGAATTAAACAACCATTAAACACAAAATTATCTGTGCCTTTGTCAAGAAATGACACAGATGAATTTAAAGAGTCGATTGAAAAAATGAATACATATTTTGCTAAAAAGATAGCAAGTCAAAAATGATCAACACCTGTCTTAGTAATTAGTGTTTACCTTATCAAGTGCAGCCTTGATAAAGTAAGCAGCAGTGATTAAAGATAACATTGTGATAAAAAAAAAAACAATGTAAACATGACTGTATAGTTACTAGGGGTGTGCAAAATAATC